AAAAAAAAAAAAAAAAAAAAAGTGGGATGGTCAGTTAATGAGAATTTAAGTTTAAATTAAAATAATATTTAAAATAAAATAATTAAAGTTGATTTGATGCAAAGTAGGTGAAATATGATTGGAAGGGATGATTAATTTAAATTATGTGGGTAGATGAAAAGTGAATTAAAGTTGACGTGATGTGTAAAAATGATTGGTTGATATTATTTAATTATATTAATAATATTGAGGATGGCGGAGTTGAGTTAAATTTGAGTTTTGATTGGTTTTTTATTAGTCAAGTTTATATCCATTCACACCCTTATCTCTGAAGCTTATAGAATCGTTGAGATGTCAATGATCATTTGAATTTACAGGCTCCATTTACTGAATGGAATGTTAAAATTTTTAGATGGTCGATTCTGTGGTGATAATACAATCAGAGATGATGTTGTGTTATGCAGTGAGCGGAGATTGCTGCATTGCGCACCGTGTATTTTCCGGCATCCTGAGATCTGATGTGATGTGCACATCCTGTGGTTTCACATCCACAACATATGATCCATGCGTAGATGTATCGTTGGACTTGAAACCGAACCACACTGGCCAAAAACCCCCGACTCTAGTGGGGTGCCTTGATCATTTCACGAGAGCAGAGAGATTAGGTTCCGACCAGAAATTTTTCTGCCAGCATTGTCAGGTTAGGCAAGAATCCCTCAAACAGATGTCCATAAGAAAGCTCCCTTTGGTGACTTGCTTCCACATCAAGAGGTTTGAGCACTCGTCTATTGGGAAAGTGTCGAGAAAAGTCGACAGCTATCTGCAGTTCCCTTTCTCGTTGGACATGTCACCTTACCTGTCATCGTCTGTTGTTAGGAGAAGGTATGGGAACAGAATGCTGTTCCCTTTTGAGGTGGATGCGCAGTTTGAGCTTTTTGCTGTGATCACACACTCGGGTAAGCTGGATGCGGGACATTATGTGACTTATTTGAGATTGAATGATGAGTGGTTCAAGTGTGACGATGCTTGGATCACTAGGGTTGCTGATCATGTTGTCCGAACTGCTCAAGGCTACATGATGTTTTACGTGCAGAAAATGCTTTATTACAAAGCCGCTGAGGGGACACTTGGTGTGTGAGGCTAAAGCGAGCCTAGCCTCACACACTATTATTAATATTATTATTATTACCTTTTTTTTCTGCCGTTATGGCGAATTATATTGAGGAACTAGGTAAACGATGAATGTTGCTGCTGCCGGTTTAATTTTTTGAGGCCCAGCAATCAAGATTCGTGGCTAAAATGAAATTTTGTATATCCAGTGTTGGATTATTTGAAAAATGAATAATATATTTCGATCTTTTGCTTTACTGCTAATTATGTTGTAGGTGAGGACTTAAAAATGTAGATATTAGAAATTCGGAGTTCTTTATTCATCATCCAGGATGACGGAAGGTGATCGTCTGGGTAATACGAGTCTCCAGTTTTGGTTCTTGGGCCGACCATCACTTTCGTGTTCTTGGCCATAACTTAATTCATGGCCCATCGTCAACAAGTACATCCATAATTTTTTGAGAAAATTACCCCCTATACGTATAGATTTTCTTTAATTTCCCATTAAGGGAGTTCAAAAAATTTAATCCTATTTAATGTTTCTTAGGTCAGAATTACGAGAGCAAAAAATTTAATCCTATTTAATGTTTATTCTCTCTCCCTTTTCATCACACTTTCTTCCCGTCTGGTTTATCTTCATTCCTTATTCTCCATTTTTCTTTCTCTAAATCCAGATCTAAACTCTATTAACAATAGAGAACCAAAATTTCATTGCCAAATTCATCTCCTTTTCATCCCACTTCCTTCCCGTCTTGTTTATCTTCTTTATATTTTTTTGGTATATTTCTGGTTGTGAAGTAGTATATCCTTAATAGTTAATGGTGTTATATAAAAAGTTATTTTTTTTAATGTGTAAGTATGTTTTTTAATTTATTTTTTTCTAGTTGTGTAATGGTTAATTATTAGTTTTTGTTAAGTGGAAATAGAAACTTCTTTCTTTTTTTTTTTTTTTTGGTACAATTTTTTTTTGGTACAAATAGATAGGGATGTAAATGGGTCGGAGTGGGTACGGGTTTTGGCAAACTCGAACCCGACCCGCATATAATTTACCCTACCCAAACCCGACCTGTTACCCGGCTAGTGATCTTCGGGTTCGGGTTGGATTTTACCCGGCGGTTAGTGGGTTTTCGTCGGGTAAACGGGTAACCCGAGTCTTAAATTTGAGTTTTAACCGACCCATCTCATTTCATATGAAAATAAAATAAAATAATTTCACAATCAATTATAAGAAATAATTTATTAACTAAGTTTGACAATAAAAAAATTATAAAAAAAAATTATATTATTTTTGGAATAAATAATGAGATATGATTATTTTCCTTTTATAGTCTATTTAATATTATAACATTTAAAATTAAGTATTTAATTTTTTTATTGTACAATTAACAAAAAATGATAATAAAATTATAAAAAATAAAATAAATTAAACCATTAATCAAAATTATAATAGATAATTTAATTTTTAAAAATAACACGTGACTACTTTTATATTTATTATAAGTTATAAACATATATGTATGTATGTATGTATGCATGTATGTATGTATGTATGTATGTATGTATGTATGTATGTATGTATGTATGTATGTATGTATGTATGTATATATACATGATTCAATGGTTGCCGGTAAACGGGCAGGGTTTGCCTACTATACCCGCACCCGACCAGTCCCGAGGTTCGGGTAGCATAATTTTACACTAACCCGACCCGAAACCCATTCATTTCGGGTTTACCCGACCCAAAAATGCAGATAACCCGCGGGTAACCCGACCCTACGAGTTTTATTGACATCCCTACAAATAGAAACTTCTTTCTGGTTAATTAGGTGATCATTATTTGGTTTATCTTTTCACTCTCACATGTTTATTTATTGTTGTGGAAAGAGATAGAAGATGCTGAAAAATGTAAATGATCATTGTTCAAAGTTTAGTGCTTGTTTTGTTTTATGAAGAGAAAGCGTTGGGAGTTTTTTATGCGACCAGTTTTGTATTTATCTATCTATCTATATCTATACTATTATAAAAGTACCAATGAATCTGTAAAAATATGTTTTGCCTAAAATAACCTTACTTTATCATCTTTATAATGACAATTTTGTAATTTATATATGATCAAATGCTACAGCATACGTCTCTTCTTCAACGCCAAATGATTTACTGTCAATAATAGTCAGTGGTGATAAAGGCAGGCAAGTATTCTGATATATTCCATGTTTATATGTTTAAACAATTTAATAAGATTAAGCTCGATATGTCATCTGCAGCTACGACGTCTTCTAATTATATATCTTCACTGATAGCTATATACTTGATAATCAAACAATTTGGTTTTTGTGCTAATAATAATAATAATAATAATAATAATAATAATAATAATAATAATAATAATAATAATAACTTCTGTCTTTCCAAAAGTACCTTTCATGTCAAAATTTTGGTTAACTTGATTTTAGTAACGTCTTAAATAATATTTATATTTTATCTTAATGGGAGAAAAAGTTGCACATATAATTTTGGACTAAAAGTTCTTCAAAGAAAAGTTATCCAACAAAAATAACATAATAAATATTTATAAAGAAACTAAATATTTTCGACTATTTATTTATCTATCTACAATTTTAATTAAACTAAAAATTTTGGTAAAATATGACAACTTATTTGAGGGTTAGCTTGTATATAATAAATAATTCTAAAGATTCATACGTAACTTTATTTAAGAGTAGATACCTAAATTTTACCAAAATCATGCACACGTGAAATATATACATTATCTAACAAACTAAAAAAGATAGAACAATTCCTTAACTACTTCATCATTTAAGAAAATAAATGTTTTTTTTATTTGGAATTAAAATAAAAATTGCACCTTATTCTTATAAAATTGAATTATGATTTATACAAAAACCTTTATTTATTTATTTGTTTTTTTTTTTATTAATTTTGGTTGCAAATTCAATAAAGTTAACGAATCTTCACATATCCATTAGATGGTTAATATCAAGGTGAATAATATTTTAATTGTTAATGCTTAAAATATTTAAACTTTTCATTCAATAATCTATATTTATATCTATATCTATATCTACACTACTTTAAAAGGAGGAGTGTTTTTGTAAAAATTCATAATACCTAAAAAACCCTTACTTTGACATAAATTTAATGCAAATTAGTAATACACTAATACACATCATATTTTATTAATATTTTTAATTAAAAAATGAACTACCTCAAAAACCCTTACTTTCACATGTTTTAAATGGCAAATTGGTAATATACTAATGCCATCATATCTTATATCCTCCCTATATATCATTAAAAAACATAAATTTTCTCAATTCAACATAAGAATATCAATGTAAATAGTATATTTTTAAAAATTTTATGAACAAAAGTTGACTCGACAATATTATTAATGAATTTATGAATTGTAAATATTTAATTAAAAATTTGTAATTAAATATAATATAATATAGGATACACAAATATTTGATATATAATGAGGCAGATGATCGAAAAAATTCTATACTTTATATTATGTCTTTTTTGACAAATCGACAGTTAAGAACATGTGAAAGAACAAGATAAAGTTTTAAAAAAATAGTAAATATAAGAAATAATATGAATAATAACTAAGTTGAGACACGTACTAATAAATATAACAAACTAATAAACAAAAATAATATAACTAATATAACTAAATATAAACCTTCTAAAAATATACTTATCGATGTAATCGAACTGAGTTGTTAAACGCTTGTTAGTTTTTTGTTCTTATTAATTTTATGTGTAAATTTGAGGTGATAGACAATAGTTATTTGTACATTTATACATATAGATTAGAAAAAATATTTATTATTCTAATTTTAAATAATTTTTTAATTTACTATATTAGTTTTCTTAATATAATATATAATTATCATATTGAACAGATAAAACAAGAAATATTTTAATTATATAATATTTAATATGTAAGAATTGTAACTCAATTGGTAAATTAATAGGTAATTTTGGGATAAAATAATGAGTGATTTATGAAAAAAAAATACATGAACTAAAAAGTTCACGTGTTTAATATATTTTTAATAGAAAAATTGTAAACACAATTACTTAAAAATACTACATATAAAATATAAGAAAAACATAACTTTTCTCAATTCAACATAAGCAAATCAATGAAAATAATATAATTTTAAAAATTTTATGAACAAAAGTTGACTCGACAATATTATTAATGAATTTATGAATTGTAAATATTTAATTAAAATATTAATTAAAAAATTATAATTAAATATAATATAATATAGGATATACATATATTTGATATATAATGAGGCAGATGATCGAAAAAATTCTATACTTTATATTATGTCGTTATTGACAAATCTACTGTTAAGAACATGTGAAAGATAATCGAACTGAGTTGTTAAATGCTTGTTAGTTTTTTGTTCTTATTAATTTTATGTGTAAATATGAGGTGATAGAGAATAGTTATTTGTACATTTATACATGTAGATTAGCAAAAAAATCTTTATTATTCTAATTTCAAATAACTTTTTTTATTTACTATATTAGTTTTTTATAATATAATATAAGTATCATATTGAACATATAAAACAAGAAATATTTTAATTATATAATATTTAATATGTAAGAAATGTAACTCAATTGGTAAATTAATAGGTAATCTTGGGATAAAATAATGAGTGATTTCTGAAAAAAATAAATAATAGGAACTAAAAAGTTCACGTGTTTAATATATTTTGAATAGAAAAATTGTAAACACAATTACTCAATAAATACTACATAAAAAATATAAGAAATCTTATATCCTC